TGACCAATCAGAACCAAATTGGCTGGCAGAGGAGGGCAGTTGGGGGCAAGATCAGGCCTGCAGGGGAGGGCAGTTGGGAGTGAGATCAGCTTGGCAGGGGAGGGCAGTTAGGGATGATCAGACAGGCAGAGGCAGTTAGGGGTGATCAGGCCTTCAGGGAAGGGCAGTTGGGGGTGATATTAGACAGGCAGGGCAGGGCAGTTAGGGGCGATCAGGCAGGCAATGGTAGTTAGGGGCGATCAGGCCGGCAGGGGAGAGCAGTTAGGGGCAATATCAGGCTGGCAGGGAGGGCCATTGAGGGCGAGATCAGGCCGGCAAGGGAGGGCAGTTGGGGGAAACCAGGCTGGCAGGGGAGGGCAGTTGGAGGCGAGATCAGGACAGCAGGGGAGGGTGGTTGAGGGTGAGATAAGGCCAGCAAGGGAGGGCAGTTAGGGGTGATCAGGCAGAGGCAGTTGAGGGTGAGATCAGGCTGCAGGGGAGAGCAGTTGGGAGAGATCAGGCAGGCAGGCAGAGGCAGTTAGGGGTGATCAGGCAGGCAGGCAGAGAGGTTAAGGGTGATCAGGCAAGCAGGCAGAGAGGTTAGGGGTGATCAGGCAGGCAGGGAGGCAGAGGGGTTAGGGGCAATCAGGCAGGTGAGTGGTTAGGAGCCAGCGGTCCCAGATTGTGGCAGGGGTGTCCGACCGCCGGTTTAGGCTCCATCCCTCGGGCCTAAACTGGCCGTCGGATATCCCCTGAGGGTTCCCTTATTGGAGTGGGTGCAGGCTGGGCTGAGGGAACGCCCCCCCCAGTGCACGAATTTTGTGCACCAGATCTCTAGTAGATCATAATGTTGTAGGTCAATTTCTAGGGTTTCTATGATCCATTGGTGTATATGTCTGTTCTTGTGCCAGTACCAGGCTGTATTGTGATTCATCCAACTTTGTTCTTCTTTCTCAAGATTTCAGCAGCTATTCGAGGTCTTTTATGGTTCCATATAAATTTATAGAGTATTTGTTCTAGTTCTGTGAAATATGTTGTTTGCATTTTAATGGGGATTGTGTTGAATCAATAGATTGCCTGGGTAGTTTAGACATTTTAATGATGTTAATTCTTTCAATTCATGAACATGATATATGTTTTCATTTTTTGTGTGTCTTCCTCTATTTCTTTTTTCAATGTCCTATAGTGTTCCAAGTATAGGATTTTTCACCTCCTTGGTTAAGTTTATTCTTAGATATTTTATTATTATTATTACTAGTGGCCTGGTGCACGAAATTCGTGCACAGGGGAGGGGGTGTTCCTCAACCCGGCCTGCACCCAGTCCAATCTGGGACCCCTTGAAGGATGTCCTACTGCCGGTTTACAGGGATAAGGCCTAAACCGGCAGTCGGGCATCCCTCTCACAATCCAGGACTGCTG